CCTACAGTTCCATGAGGCAGCACCAGCTAGTGGGGGAGATGACGGTAGCGCTGCGGGTGATGGGCATGACGACGAGTCTGGTGCAGGGACCGAGGACGTTGACACATCCTCGAGCGATGGCCATCAAACACCGGAGGGCAATGGGGATGATGGGTCTAAGCCTGCTGACAGTGGAAAAAGCGGTCGCGACCCCTCCAGGGAGACCAGTGATAGTGACAGCGAGGACGAAGTGGATGCCTCGGGACGGCAGTCGGGTCCATTACCCACTCCAATGGTTGCCCCGTCCACATCTGGGGTTCAGGGTATGCGTGGTGGAGCGACTTTGACAAGAGAGGATGTGGAGGGCATGTTGTATGACCAGCGCATCCTCTTCGAGATGAGGTTGCGGACCATGAAGCTTGAAATCATGCAGCACGTCACCGAGGAGTTCGCTAGACTGAGGCACTTCATATCTACCTTGGTGTCCCCGTCTAGTGGCACCTCCACTTCCGCTGCTGCTCCGGTCGTGAATGAGCCAAACCTTTGGGACGACCCCCATAAAGGTATGAGTTTATGTCACTGTTTCTTCCATTTACAACACGTGTGCAATTTTTCCTATGCGTTTGCTTACAAATGTATTTTTGAAATTGCCAAATTACTTAGATATACATGGAGGCAACATGGACTTGTGCCCGGATGATGGTGGCCATCCTTCCCCTATCGGGAACTTGGAGGTGAATGGTATGTCCGTTAGTTGTATGTAACACATTTTTTGTCTTCGATGTCATCTCATCTCGTGATATGCTAGTCGATTGAATTTGACTGTAATACTAATTTTTTTTTGGTTTCCAAGTAGACGGGCAAGGCAGCGACGTACGGAGCCCGCATGACGACGACCGTGCTGCCGAGGATGAAATGCAGAAGGGGAACGGTACGTGCGTAAATTTTGTATTTTATGTCATCTCATCTCATGATATCTTTCTTGTCCAATTTTATTCGCCTTTACTTACTGTCTTCAATTTAAGTCGTTCAATAATTTCTTATTTTTTTGAGTAGCCGGGGAAGGCAGCGACAAATGGAGCCCACACGACGACGACCATGCAGACGAGGGTGAAATGCATGCGATGAACGGTACGTGCGTTCTTTTTGTCAACTCTATCGTCTCATCTCGTCATACGCATATGTATTCAATTTCACTCGTTTATTCGTTTGTTCTCTTTCTTCCAACTAGACGGGGAAGGTGGAGACGAACAGAGCCTGGAGGATGACGACCGTGCGGAGGAGGGTGACATGCAGGACATGAACGGTACGTGCGTAATTTTTTCTAACTTCTGTGATTTGGGTTCTATTAACAAACACTTCCCCCCTACACAAATGATAATTCATATCTTGTGTTTGTCCATTTCACCCAATTTCCTTTGAACTAGACCCAGGAGAGATCGTCCCCACCCTCCCCAGCGACGACAACGAGGAAGGCCCATTGACCCATGACGTCACGGAGGTGGACAGTATATGCTTTTTTTTCCTTCAATAATCTTATTCCATGACTATGTGGCGTCGTTCACAGAGAACTGTTTCACTAAGCTCGGACTGAAATGTTTTATATGGCTGCTAACACAGAGTTGCCGGCACAAGTGATCGTACCCCAGAAGGGAGGCAATGTGGGCAGCACAAACAAGCAGCAATCGACTCATGTTCGACATCCTGCACCACCTACCCGGACGCCATACACGAGGGGAAGGGCAAAGAGAGTAAAGAAATGAGTGAGTTCAAGTGGTTTGGTAAGGTCTGATGTAGTAGTAGATATGTTGTTGGTAACAAAGACATGCTTTTAATTTGATTTGTTTTATGGACGGATACATTTGCTCACCCATATTCTACACGTTAAATTGTCTTATGTACAGTACATAAATGTTTAGTGCAAGCATGGGATAGTATTGTCGGTACATTTTGTGTGTATGCGTTGACGACATAATGCATGTATTGTTCACGAAATGTGAAAGGGTACATCAACATCATAACTAAAATGAATATATCATCATTCTTATACATCCCAGTCATATGACTTGTCAACACGAACTGACGGTTTTTCCTGTTAGAGTCCTCACAAAAATCTGCATGCCTACCTGCAACCTCAGCACGAAATGCAGAGTTGACTCGTGGTCTGGTGGGATTCCTTCCATGTCCTGAATTTTAGCTTTGACATTATCGCTGGTGTCGGAGCTTTCACCTTCACAGGTTATTGTCTTCCCAGTAAGGGTTTTGACAATAATCTGCCTGCCACCACCAAGCCTCAACACCAAGTGGAGTGTGGACTCCTTATGAATTTTATAGTCGCCCGAACTACGACCATCCTTAAGTTATTAACCAGCGAACATGAGCCTCTGTGTTGGTCTAGTGCGATACCTTCCTTGTCTTGTATGTTGGCTTCACCATTATATTTATGGCCTGTATTGTACATGATATGCGAAAGGGTTCGTTTTTTGGTGATTAGATTGCATGCACGTTTTCTACTCCATGGGTGAGTACATTTTCTAGTTCTTACGTTGATTGGATGGATAGTTACGAACTTGCTCTGCTCTGTCATTTCACTTTAGCGGACATTTGATGCTGGTTGGAGCTGATTAATTCGAAGGGCTGATTTTTCAGTTGAGCATGTGCTTTCATCGAGGTGTGATGACGAATTTTCGTATAATGATGAAGAGGTGTAGTTAATAGCACCAAATAACAGTCAAAGGGATCCAAACCTGGGTTCATGCCTGAAGGTGCAACTGTGGAGACGATTACATCGTATCACATATGATGTGGTTGATGATGTCAAGGGGGTTTATGAGATTACTTCAATTCTATATGGGGATATGGTTAACTGGAACGTACATTGAGACAGGACATTTTTTTGTACTCAAATTAATTTGATGTTCATGGTACTTGATGAAGTAGTAGTATTCTGTACTTTAATTTCATTGGAGTTGAAGGTGTTATACCTGCATAAATGAGTCATGGTATGAAATGATCTTGTGTCTAATGGAGTGTGGTCGAACGATCGAGGACAATGATTATTGTAAAATTCACATTACCGTAGAATGAAAAATTCGATGTTATCTTTGCTACGTTGGCCCCAACATTACAACCGATGTATATTTATTTCGACATGCATTTTAGTATAAATTCGCTTGTTCGAAGAAATTAAAGTTTATTTTAAAAATGGCTTGTAAAGTCACCCAATGTTTATCTTCAGTGGCAGGGACATTAATTTTATCAATTTTTCATGCAATTCATATGATTTAGAATTTAAAAACTGTATTCAATTGTGACTAAGGACTGCAAAAATTCTATAAAGTAATGTAAGTACAAATTCATTGCAGGAATGTTGCCATTGCATGTCTTGCAAATGGGTACAATTTACTCATAATTCTCACCATTTATGGACTGCATTAAAGTACACTTACACCCTTAACCATCACACTAAACCATCACACCAATGGTCAATCAAGTGTTAAGTAGAAATGAAATGGTGGTTGGTTGGTAAATTGCTTTAAATGTCCTCATATACCTCTAGTATAAAGCAAGGCTTGCACTCTTCAAGTGGGATATATGAAACTCTTTCTGAGGCATCTCGTAGCAGGAACGTATGTGAAGTCTATTTCTTCGTACGAAAATAATGACATCGTCCACGGGAAGCAATTCACCGCTGGCAGTTTAGGAGCCGATGTCGACACCCGGTTCAACCCCGCTATGTCCCATCGTAATTTCTTCGGACAATGAGGAAATGAGTTCGAATGGTGGTCGGAGAGCCATCACTGTCATTCCCTTTCCGAACCTGGACGAAGTTGCAAGTGATGAAGGCGAGTCTCCGAGAAATGTGCTTCAATGGGTGGTCCCATTTATGGATGCAGACGAAGTTCAACGTTACGAGGATGAGGGACAGGGTCACGTTCCATCGCCAGAGGTAATTGTCATCAACTCGGATGATGACGGTGGGGAAGAAGGTTCAAGTGTTAGGTCCGAGTGAAGAGTCCGGCTTTGTTGCGTGTGTGGGTTTCTACGTATGTATGTGTAGTGGTTTTTTGTAACGGATGGATTTTGTGACGCTTAACCAATTCTGTACCAAGTAGGAAACTCCCATTGGCAAGTTATGTGTTTTTTGTATTTTCTTAAGCGGAGCGTCGCACAACTGTCGAAAATGGCAGGCACCATCTGTCGAGAACGACAGATGAACTGTCGAGGTTTACTGGCAAATTTTCTATGTATGTAGTATGCATATTCATATAACATGTAGTTTGGCTGAACAAACACAACCTAATGTGTACATTGAACCTAGTTTGTGAACTTTGCGAATAGTGTTTTGCGCTACAAATGATGTGTTCGTAATATGTATTTCAAAGGAAACTTGTATAATGGTTGAACTTTTCATATTCTGTACATTCTATTTATGTGTCAACAATGGCAACAATGTTATGCACAGCAAAATTGTATTTTGGTTCGAGACAGTTATGCAGTGCGTTGTGCCTATTTGCGTTCTGTAAATGTTAACTTAACAAAGAGTAATGTTTACGCGTAAGAGAATGAAAACAGTAATACAATATTTACATTGTCATATACAAACAACATCGAGAGAACCCTTCACTTACAACTTCAGCCACTCACGTACAAAATGCTGCTTACATCGGACGTGGTACAGTGTGGTTCGAACATGTGGTCCGGTCATGACCAAGTCCACCGCAGTGAGTGCATTTCCTAAGCTGTGTGGTGCACTCGTGTCTGGATCGCTTACGTCGTGTGGATGGTCTACCTGGAGGACGACGCACACTAGGGGGCATAATAGGAGTACCTGTAATTTCGGGTGGAACATTCCAGTCCACTTCACGCTGAACAGGGTATATAGTTTCTCCATAGGCACCCTTCCAGTACTCAGATGTGTAATACGGTGAGCAGAGATCGTACAATGACTTACCTCTCAAGCAAGCATGGCATACGGTTCAGTTGGAACTCACGACAAGTCCATGTCTTTTCGGAGAAGTCTACGATGTCATGTCATTGGATATTCCAACTTGTCTTAAGTTATTTGTCAAGCCATGCGCTCGCAGCCTACTACCTGCTTTGAACGTCGTCCGTAACTCATTCTCCATCGTTGGTGACAGAACGGTACTGCATGCGGTTGCACTTGCTCGACGTTCATAAAGCCACTTCTGCATAGTATGCCGAATGTGTTCCACTAAGCACGTGATCAGTAATGAACGGGCATGTCTCAACATTGAGTTCAAAGATTTTGCGTTGTTGTTGGTCAAAATGTTGTACCGTTGGCCAACAAATAGTGCAAGTGACCAAAATGGGAAACCTGCTCGCTCCAAGTACCCATACGCTCTTGCACTAACCCTACAAAGCTGTCTCATAAGTCTTTCAAACTCTTCGGTTCGGTATGTTCTTGCGGCTCTTTTGAATAGGAATATTGAACTTGCGTTGTCGTACCGCTGGATTAAATTCTTTTCCATATACCAAACACAGCACCTGTGGTGAGCCCGAGGAAATAGATGGGCAATGGCATTTTCAATACTATTTTTTCTGTCTGAAACAAACACCAATTCATCCGAGTCACCTATAAGATCTTTCAAATTTGATAAAAACCACATCCAAGATCTATTCGTTTCGGGATCAACAATCCCCCATGCTAACGGATAAATCTGTTTGTTGGCGTCTTCGGCAGTTGCCTGTAGAAGGGTACCTTTGTACGGACCTTTCAAGTGACTGCCGTCAACACAAATAACGAGCCTCATATAGTGCAAGTAACCCCGAATGCTTGCACCGAAAG